ATATCAGTTATGGTCAAATGGCTCATTTGTAACTATTGGCATAATTTTCAGTGGAAAGGCTGCTCTAAACAAAAAATTATCTGTTCAGTAAATATGCTCCACAATAAGCTAGTATTCGATTATGGCACTATACCTTGCACAACATTGATTGAGAGCCAACTGGCGACCGTTATATCTGGAAACTGTGCTCACGAACGCTAGATGTGAACGACTCAACAATCACTTTTTATCTTGGCCTTAATTGCCGCATAGTCCAATGGAATGGCAGGATTTGAATGACGTTATTATGTCGTCATTGATGCCCGAGTAACCTTGAAATAGTCTCTCCAGAAGTGTGCACATCTTCGCGGTCGTGTATCTCAGAAACTAGAGGGGTTTAGGTCTTAAGAAGGGAAGGGCTATAAACTGCACCGAATGATCTTCACGACTGCTATTTTCAGCTCAAAACCCCATACAAATTTGAAACACTCCCTTGAAGTAAAACACTCCTTTTAGCAAACACACCAGATGCTTCGATTAGACTGCTCGGATACTGGTGCACTGTTAATGTTTGCGTACGTGCCAGCGAAAGTTTGATAGCGTGTCATCACAACTTACTGAAGTAGAAACTATCCGGCTTTCTTAGCACATGCCTAGCTTACATTAGCCGGCTAAAACCTGCAAAAAACAAAGTGACAAAGTTCACTAGATACCCAGTCCACCGATGGAGAGTGACCGGGATCGGTCGCTGGTGGTCGGTGTGCTCTTACCTGGACAGGGGCGGTTGCACGGCGGCGATGGCACGCGCTGAGCTGCGGTCATCGCGCATGCGCAGTCGAAGAATGGCAGTGAACTGAGGTCGGCCTCTTCGATAGCCTACGACAACAACACAACAAAGGCGAATCGGAGCGTCCTTCCCAGAACAGCCGTGATATGTGCAGCTTTACCGCTCTTTGGCATCAGTTTCACTTCCGGGTTTTTAAATTTCCTTACCCGCCCCTCCTAAAATCACTCAAGTTTTTTCCAACGCACAGAAACTGCCTGAAAACAAAAAACAAGTTTCCGTGTTCATCGAGCATTTCAAAAAATCTTAAATTTAATTAATGATGATTATCAATTCAATAAACACATTCCGAATCACAGTATTTAATATTGTGAATTTTATGAGTCTCCGCCCCTGAAACCATGCATAAGGAGGATTCGATCCAGCATCATATATGGGAAGGAGTCAAGGTCTGCTGTTCTATAGATGGTGTCAACGACACCAAGATAAAGCAAAAATAGTGCAAGTTTGGGTGCCTATATAACTGTGAGAGGGGTCATAATCTCGATGAACCTCCCTTTTCTCGTTGATCACATTACTGCACTTGGGTAAATTAGCTCGAACCTTCAATGTGCATTGAGGATGAATGATTGATGATTGATGACCCTGATGATTCTCGCGACCGTGATTTCATGATGTACTGCTGATGCACATCTCCTTGCATAATGAAATGGGCATCAGCAAAAGGGAGAACCCTGCCATGCTGTTCATTGTTCATGGCTCCTGTTATTAAATTCATCTCTGAATCAGAAAAAAAACGCTGGTCTTTCGCAATGCGTGTCTATTACAACAGATAAATCAGGATTGTTTAAATATGGCGCCAAGCTTTACTAATTACCATGCCATTATTTACCCGACGTCGGAGGACCTTGCGGCAACGTTCTGTTCGCGAGCGGTATCCGCAGTGCGGTTTTCTGTGCTTTTTAACCACATGATTTAAGATTTTTAATAACAATAATTCAAGATTTGATGCGCGGAAGTTCACTATTCAGGCTATGCCGCATAATTTATATGCCCAATGCAACTGTTTTGACCAAACTCAGAAAAGCTGCAATGCAAGAAGGGGCTCAGCCAGAGGGGCCCGGGCCATCCCCCTCCCATAGGCTGGCAATGACACTTTAGCACCAATAGGTTCTTTCATCACGCGTGCTCACAGAGTTTCGCCTCCCTTCCCCCAAGATAATCCTGGCTGCCGCCTAAAATGCAAGAGTTGCATCTGACATGATGGAGCGGCATAACCGGGATTTTGCCCAGTACCCAGTTTAATCCAGAGAACAAGGTGTCCAATTTTGGCGAGCGCGGTGAAAACATGTTTGTCTAGGCTTTCTTTCTGTTCCCGGTGTGCCAGCCATATAAATGATACATGAGCACACTTAATGATGCAATTAAAAAGAGCACAGTGAAAGCTAGGCTATGTCTCGCACATAGACACAGGCGGTTTGTGTTTCAAACAGATTTTCAGAGGAACAGATGAAGTGTAGCTGCAGTTGGGAAAGGTGATAACTTTCTGGCTAGTTCTTTTTTTGGAAGGTAAATGAATGCCGGACGTGAGTAATCTCTGTGACATTTTGTGTAACGGAGAAACGAGTAACAGAACTACCTCTCTGATGCAGCGAAGTAACGCGGAACAGAACAAATCTGAGTGGCGCTGATCACAAAAGGAAGATTATAGCCACCGCCTTCTAAGTCTTCCACTTACACACTACGATTGTGGGGCTACTTAACCCGAACCTTTCAAATCACGTTCAGACACGAATACGTGCAATAAATATATATAATATACGTATATATATATATATAATTATAATACGCATAAAACATATATAATAACATAAGTTATATACATAATAATATATATATATATATAATAATAATAATACGTGCAAAAAATACGTGCAAGGCTTGTTTGAGGTAAAGATGATGATACAAAAGGGTTATACTCAAACGTTTACAACTGCAAGGTTTCAGTGAATCTTATCTATATCACAACTTGAGACTCGTATCAAAGACAGTCGTAAATTGACCTCCGTTGGAAAACCACTGTCAGACGCTGAAGGCTCATTGATGACCACTAGAGGAAATCGTCTGAAATCGGGACCAAATATTCATTTGATGTTCGTGCAAAGTACGTTCACATTTCAGCCACAACCGGGCTGCGCAATTTTGTGGTATCGACATGGTAACAACTAACCAGTGTAATAGATAGAACCGGTCCCCAAAGAAATTAAGCTTGGCTGCTACTCCGAGAACAAACGTGTGACGCTTGCTCGCGCTTAGTTTCTACTTGATCATAGTTCAAGCACTGAATATGCACATAATACTGACCTCAAAATATGGAACACCGTCGATCATTTGTTGTTCGGGGGCAGCAGCGGGATAGGCGGGAAGTGAGGTGCTCCGGTGCGGTGCTCGGCCGTCACACAGCCGCAGCCGACAGCTCAGACACTCGTCTGTCGGGCAAGGACGCTGACCAAGCAAGCAAAACAAGACTCACGACACATAACCATATTCACGAAACAAGCATGGAAAGCCTGCAACACCAGTAATTAACGATTCTTCAGATGGCTAGTTGCAGAGGGTTCATGGTGTTCAAATCTAGTGATTCCTTTTGGAGTTTTTTTTTTTAAACGTTTGCGGGGGCAGAGGACTTCTGAGCAAATACTCTATATTTAACCCACTGGCAGAGACGCAGCCCATAGGCATGGCTTCCCTTCCTCCACCTCCCACCCCCGTCACACACACGCTCACGCACGCACATGCACACACACAACACACACACACACACACACACACACACACACACACACACACACACACACACACACACACACACACACACACACACACACACACACACACACGCGCACACACACACATACACACCGTTAGGGACAAGGAGGCTAGTCGCAACGCGGCGAATGGGAGGGGTTGTGACAATAGGCGTTTTGAAACGGTTTGGAGATGCTCATTCCGACAGACGGATTTTGCTCTAAAGGGGCCTGGGGTCCCTCTGAGGGGAAGAGAAAGGGGCTCCTAAGCTCAGATGCATCAAGAGGTCAAATGTCAGATGACGGTCAAACCATGCATAAATATTAGGCAATCATGCTAAGGAGATCTAAAGCGTCAAGCATCTGACTGTGCCCAAGTGACCCCTTATGCTTAGACCAGGCAAAGTGTGGCTCCGCTATACTAGGAACCCCGAACGATGCGCACCCACGACTCTTACTTAAAGAAGTAAGAAATATATTTCTGTCGAGGCAACATTCAGGCTTCCAGTTCTCCAAAGGGCGTCTTGAAAGCGGGCGGTCTTTGGTGGGCTAGGAACAGGAGACGCCCCTTGAAGCAAGGTCTCTTTGACACCTGAGATCACGGCCCAACGCGGTGCTGCCTTAGGGGGCGACGGGCGAGGCAAAAACTGCTGATGCAAGCTACCTCTAAATGAGATGCAGTGCTTAGAAAGAGAGGGAGGGGCCCAGAATTCTCGGGAAGGGGTCTCGCATAGTCATTGTCCCCCCCCCCTGAAAGAAGTTCATGGCTGTACGCCTCCTCACGGGTACTATCTTATGGGCCCTTTGAGTTAAGATATCAGTGCGTCAAATGCAAGTCATGAAATGAATGATAGTAATAACATCTGAGTGAGATTTCACTGCAATTGCAAGTTCAGGCTTTGAGAAACTTTTCCAACTTGACGCCTGCATTTTGAACATTTAACTGCATTGTCCCACCTGACATTCCTCACACAGTGAGATGTTTATGGCATGTGAGTTCGTAGTCTGTCTTCTCATCGTTCAGCATTTGCTTCTCGTTTTGTCATGTATGCATTAAGCCAGAAAGACGGAACCTAGCGGAATCTGACCACATTTTAGGCTCTTACATGCTTTAAATTCGTTCGCTGGCCACCGCGATTCCGAGGGTTGCGGCTGCTGGTCACACTCCGGCTCTGTCTCCGGCCGACCGGACTCCGATGGACTCGAACGCCGTCCCGAGTCCAACCGCTTCGTCCTCCGGCCTGCCTCTCGCTGACTCGATGTACGACTGGACTTAATCTGACCCGACTTTTGACCAGCTTTTCGCCCACTGACAGTTCGATCCAATTTGGATCGGCTCTGCCTTCGGTTTGACTCTTGCTGACTCGACGCACTGCTGGACTCGGGCTCGGACTCAGGTTGGTTCGTCCTGCGGTCTGACTCTCGCTGACTCAACATCTGGCTGGACTCGGGTTGACTCAGCCGGCCGTGCGAGTCGGACGCCGTTTTCCTCCGCCGGGAGTCGCGCTGGCTGTGTCGCCGATAGGAACCCGACGAGGTTTGCTTCCGACTAATCCGCCGATCTGACTCGGAATCGGCGGAGTCGGGAGCCGAGGCGTTTCTGGCCAGTGACGCCAGGCCATCCTTGGCCATGGCGACCAGGGCACTTCCCGCTAGCAAACCCGCCAGCATCTGCCGACACAAACCGCCGTCTCTGAGCGAATGCGACCGCAAAAAAGCCATCGACAGGCTCTGTCAGCTTCAGGCTGTCACAAATCGCATGAAAAATAAACGTATCTTATTGACACAGGAAAAGAACACGTGTTAGCGTGGCCTAGAGACCAGCCAAGGTGATGACCCTGGTATGGACTGGCACTAGGCAAAGCCTTATAACGCATGCATGCTAAGCAGCTGTCTGCGCGGCTGTCACCTGAGCCAGCGTGTTTTCAGCGGAGGCAGCGCCTCACCTCGGGCTGTGAGCTGGCCAGTGAGTCGGCCGCCGTGTAGGTGGTCCTGAACATGGCTTCGCTCCCAACGGAGCGCCTCTGCTGGTCCAGGGAGCGGGCGGTCTGCATCAGATCCGCTGCCAGCCGCGGGAGGCGTCCGTCGAGCCTGCCAGGTTCGTGCGATGCGGCTCAACTTGGCAGAGTTATGGAACGCCAGTTCTAACAAGGCGGTGACCAAAACAAGTGTTGAATGTTTGTGTTTTACACCGATCCTTATCCTTAATTCTGACCTGCTAATGGGATTTTTCTACTCATATGGACGAAGTTTAAAATATGTGATGTTTCTGAAAAGACAACACTTCAACAGCAGTTCAGGTGTGTTTCCGAACTAACCCAGCGTGAACCCGGTACTTCTTCATTCACTTCCATTCTGAGGATGACGCAAACTAGTTTGTCAAAGTGCACTTTCAACATTATCGGCTAGCTAATTTCCGTCGCAGTTATTCCATCTTGGTTCTTTTGGAATCGCCTCAGATTCAGCGCAAGTTGCAGGACTTGAAATAACTTACGTAGGAATGCATAATTTGATGTTGATCCAAAAAGGTAATTGAATGCAAATTAATACGAGTCAATACCATGATCTTTATGAAATTATGGCAAGGCTATAATGAAGATAGTAATAGCTAGGACAGTTTCATTTATATGCCAATGAGTGTATGTATTACTAAAACCAAATAGCAAAAAAAAAACGGACAGGTTTATAGCCTTTGGCAATTATGTTCTCAGGATTATTTCAAATATTTTTCTGTACCAACACCCGGGTAATCACGTATGCATCGAATTGGTTTCACTCTTTGGTTAACCAGGTGTGCCAACGATGGTTAAGGAAGTGTGCCGGCACTGGTAAAGGTGTGCCGACGCTGGTTAAAGGGGTGTGTCGGCGCTGGTTAGGGAGATGTGCCGACACTGGTTAAGCAGATGTGTCGACGCTGTTTAAGGGGTACCGACGCTGGTTAAGGTGTGCCGACGCTGGTTTAGGAGGTGTGCCGACACTGGTTACGGAGGTGTGCCAACGCTGGTTAGAGAGGTGTGCCAACGCTGGTTAAGCAGCTGTGTCGGCGCTGGTTAAGGGGTGCCGACGCTGGTTAAGGAGGTGTGTCGACGCTGGTTAGGGAGGTGTGCCAACGCTGGTGAAGGAGGCGTGCCGGCGCTGGTTAAGGAGGTGTGTCGACGCTGGTTAGGGAGGTGTGCCGACGCTGGTCAGCACTGGCGATATGTGGGATGTCAATCACAGCACAAAACCAGACTAATGGGTGTACGTATGTGAAAGCGTTACATCTTCGCACAGACAGTCTAGCTGTGAAGGAAATCACGTGCGAAACTCATCCCACTAACACATGAGTGGCCAGGAGCTAGTCATTACATTCATGACGGGCTTTAATGTTCTACCTCCGATGGATTCATCATTTGTTTTCAGCACATTACCTGTTAGCCCGAACAGATTGACCCGCAAGGCACTGACGATTTATGAATTTGAAACACTCGCATGCCACTGCACCACATGTTTTACTATTCAGCTTATCACCTTATCGTAGGCTGACATCTCCTAATGTCCATAAACCAGCATATGATGGCACGCCTGCCCTGGCCTACGCCTTTCGCCGTTCTAGTGTTTACAACTGTACCGTTTCCCTTCGAACCCAGCTTAACCATCTTCATATGAAACGAATGTAAGGCTTGGAGATCATAGCACCAAAGTGAAGTAAAATTATTTTCTTTCGTAATACACTGAATGCTTCCCTTTTAAAAAGAACAAGGCCAACAACAGACTGACCTGGACCATACCGTCGTAACATGCCAAGTCCATCACATTTCAGGCGGAGTGTTTCATATTTATGTGATGTTTTTAACTGAAATAGCCATCTTGAAGATCGTCCTGTACAGTTTATAGCCCTGGTCTTCCTCAGACCTGCACCTATGTGGTTTCTGAGCTCCACGGCCGCGAAAATATGCAGACTATTTCGGAGATCTATTTCAAGGTCATCGAGGCATTCACGAAACCATAGTAACGTCATTCGAATGGCGCCGTCCCACTAGCCACGCGGCGGACAAGGTCAAAAAAAAAATTGTCGGGTCGTTCATCTCTGGCGTCCGTGAGCACGATTTCCAAATATAACAGCCAGCAATTGCTCTCAGCCAATGTTGTGGGAGGTACGAATGTCGTAATCAAACAATGACACATTGAGGAGCACATTAACTAAACAGAGAAAATGTGTTTTTCTGGAGCAGCCCTTTTCACTTAAAAGTATGCCAATAGTTTTAAGAGAGCTTATTTCATCATATCTGATGTTGGTTTAGATATCCTTAGAACGTGGAATATTCCTTTTAATTTAGGCTTTGGCTCTTCAGTTGTCATAAAGCGCTATTCGGTTGCCAGAAAAGTCCTGTTCGGCTGCCATAAGGCAAAGCAGCAGCTGACAAAATCTTTTGAAAGGATAATATGGGGAGTAAACGGAACCAATGGAGAATGGAAAGCTCCCACTATGATATCATGGACCAGCGGCATCAGTCACTGCGCCCGACTTTGGCAAAGTCGCCATGTCCGTCGGGTTGTCAAACATGCCACACCTGCAGCAGCGTAATGCTGGGGAATAATGTTCTGAAATGTGATGAGCAAAATCACGTGCAAAACTACGGTGGAAGTTGCGTCGGCACTAAATAAAACGCGTTCAATAACTTTAAACTTTCATTTCATTACCCGCATTGTGTAGACCGTCCGTTTGCTCTAATTTGCTGGCCTGAGGCAAATTCACTTAGCCCGCCACCATGGGAGTGTTACACTTGTGAACCATTTGTGCAGGGAAAATATGAAACAGATTGCGAGCAACGCGAGTAAAGCGCAAGCCAGCGCATTGCAGGATATCGAAGTCTCACCTCAGGCTGCGACCCTGCCAGTGGGCTGCCCAGTGAGTCAGCTGGGGTGTAGGTGGTCCTGAAAATGTTGCCGCTGTCCGATGGGTGTCTGACTTGCTCTGGGGAGCGCGCAGTGCTGACCAGATCGCTGCCGGAAGCAGCCGACTTCCGTCGAGCCCGCTTGCTGGTCCGCTGAGGCTGTGCCGACTCATCCCGGGAAGCCGGAGCCGTCCTGCTGGCCCGGGAGCTGCTCTGGCTGGTCTGCAGGCCTGGCTGACTGGCCTGTGAGCCAGTCCGAGCAGCCCAGGAGTCTGACTGACCGGCAGCGGGCTCGGTGTAAGACGACCGCTTTTCCTTTACGTTGCTGTTGCGGGGCGAGAGCGGTGTCGATTGTGTGCTGGCCTCGGCAGTGGGAGCCTCTTCGCCACTGTCTGATGGGGCCGGGACGGAATCAGACACCTTCGCGGTGGGGGATGCCGCACCGGTGGCGTTATCCTCCGGAACTGGCCCGGCTGACGACCCGGGCATGTAACTGGCAATCACCTCTTCCGTTTCGGAGGATCCGGCGCTGGTAATTTGCGCATCCACGGTGAGCGAACCCACCTTCGGGGACTCTTGCCCATCATAAGCACTCTCCTCACGCGCTCCCGCCTTTGCCTCATCAGCACCGCCGAACGGAGACGCGCGTTTGGAAGACGGCCTGCCGACGGCCGACGAAGCACTCTGAGGGGACGAAGCGCTGGGTGGTGCCGAGCCTGTGTCCACTTCTCCCGGCTGGACGTCAGACACCGGCTCCTCTGTCAGCAAGCCTGAGAACAGACCTCGAGCGGGCAAAGAGTCTGACGATTGAGGAACGTTCCCCTCCTCCGGAACGCCAGACTCCATCTGATCTGAGCTTTGCACCCTGGGACCAGCACTGGCCAGCGACGCTCCTGCCGTCGATCTTGAAAAATGGTCAGAATTTTGCACGGCGGCCTCACCACTGGACGACGTAGAGGGCAAACGTCCACTAAGAGGAGCTGTGGAAGTCAGCGGATCCTCACCCCCCAGAGCACTGGAGGCCTGATCCGTACCGACCGCACTGCTTTTGGCCTGCAAATCTTCAGAAAAATCGTCGGTGGATGATGAGGATGTGGACGACTGAGCTCCATTAGTTCCATTCATAGGGCTCGCTGGATCTTGGGCGTTGTCATCACTGGGTTCTGACGCAAATGGAGAGGTACCCTCTCCAAGCGCAGACGTTGGGAACATTTCATCACCATCCAGTGCTGATGTTGCAAGGGGTTGTCTCGTCCCCGGAGCATTCACTGAAACCGACGGACTTGGCTCACCATCGTCTGACGAGGTGGCTGGCGCTGCAAATCCTTCGGCGCCCACTGTAACTCCAGTTGTTAGTGAATTCCCTGCGCCTTCGTCGTTTGCTAGTGGCATCAGCGGAGAGCCTTCATACTCTTGCGCAATTACAGCGGCCAGGGTCTCATCGGGGTCCTCTTCCCCGGATGAAAATTGGGGTTTGAATTGGGGATCACCTGGCATCGCCATCGAATCCTGCATGTTATCCATCGCATTTTCGTCACCCGGTCGCGGCACCAGTGGAACGGCTTCGACGTTTGATTTATTCTTGGCCAACAGCGAGCCATCAGATCCTCCATTGCTGCTCGTAAATGATGACGAAGCAGATGTTTTATCGGATCCTTTCATTCTGACAAGTGAACCCATTGAGCCACCTTTGCCCTGCGAGGCCGACGGAAACATGTCGTTTGCAGGCGGAGACATCGTGGACAGTGGGTTCGCTTCGTTATCGCTCGGTTGAGAAGATGCGGTGGACAAACCCCGACTTTCGGTCTGTGTTAGATTCAATGGGTCAGATGCGATATCGCCATCACTCTGTGCAACTGCTGCGGGGGTCTGACCTTCAGGCTGCATTGGAGTCATTGGTGCGTGTTCCGAGGCGCCATCGTTGTATGTCTCAGCCTGTGAAGATATTCCCACCCCTGGCATTGCTATGGCTGCCGGCGGACTTGCAACGTCTTCCTCACTCCACGAGGAGACGGAAGTGGGATAGGCCCCGCCAGGTCCCATGTTTTCGGCAAGTGGATCCGACAGCACGCCTTCACCAGGCGCTGACATCGGAGGAGGCATTCCTCCATCTGATGCTATGTCGGGGGCCACCTCGTCAATCTCCTCTTCAATCTCGCCAGATGAGGAGGCGGCTGGCGTGACTCCAACAGCTGGAGACGTCGCTGGTGGCTCCTCCATCTGCTCAGGAGAAGGCACTACAGGGTCAGCAGGTGGAGCAGCCTTTTTAGCCTGGAAACTGGATGATATTTCAATATCCGTTCCGATCTCTGATTCCGATCCCGACGAAGAAGCTGATGATGATGATGATCCTGAGTCTGATGAAGCATTCGGTGTCTTCGGCTCTGTGGTAGTATTTTCGCCCATTGTGTCTGCGTGGAGAAAGGTATTTCAAACAACTTAGCTAGTTAGTTGTAGGGTTTCAAATGTGCGTCATCTGTCTTGGTTATTCGCACCAAGCATCACCCAACTTGCTTACGATGTTGCCCGACTTGTCACGACACATAAGCTACATTCGTGCTTTGATCTAAACGCCAGCTCGTCATCACTGGCACTGTGCATGGCTCATTTGAAACCAACACTTCATAATACTTTTATCTGACCGGTTTGCCAAGGCTTGGCTATAGTAGGAGATTGGTCAATAATCCATCATCATTTAAGCTGCATCAAAAATCGGCTCACCTTTAGTGATAAGATTATTTTCAATCGTCTTGCGTTCTCCACCAGCAACAATCTGATGACAGTTTCCAACAGAACTACTTTTCTAAAAATGTCCCCTTATTTCTCTCCTTGAACAATTCCGTGACAACTTCTATAAGGCTGCAGTTGTGAACGTGTTTTTGACTAATGGAAGCGTGGAAGCAATAAATCTAATCAATAATCAAGGTAGCAAAAGAGGTTCGTAGAGACAGCAACATAAGGTATAGCATGCCTTCCCTTGGAGTAACGCATTACAACCAGTCCTACCACCTGTCAACGTAATATGTAAATGCAGAGTTCAATGCTTGCTGTCTTGATGCCACGATGCAGCTTCGATGCCTGGCAAAAGGTGACGGAAGATGTACGCGGCTGCGTTGTGTGAGTACAAATTCATTCAACAGATCATGCCGTCAGCTGATGAACATCTGGTTTTCGCAGGCCAAAAATCGATTTCGCCTGACGCCACGTGCACTTGCATCAGAACAGCTTGCACAAAAAATGCAAGGCATTACCAAGACATCGCTTGAAATTTGTTTGAGATTGTTGGCTCCAATGAGGGATCATGTCGCTGTTTAGGGACTGTACCCATTTTTGTTGCTGGTTTGTCAAACACGATGGCGTAATATGCATTCGTTGTCTTCTTTCCGTTCTGCTCATTATCTCTCACGAATCTTCTGTTGCCATAATCAAGCTCAGAAAGAGCATTTCCAAAATTGGTCATCGTGTTCCGACATTTCGCTGAGCATAAGACATTATAGGGGTGAAAGTTAAGTTATGAATTGATACAAACTTGACATATGCGCTGTAGCTCGTTGATACGATAGTTCGATGCTCACATTCGCCTGACACTTATACAATTGTTGCGTGATATGCACGCAATACAGATGGTAAAATTATCGAGGTTAGTGTTCTATTCCTTTTTCATTCTTAAAGTAGTACACAAAAGATCGTTATCTTTATACATAGCGATATCTTAGAATGCTTATAAGATATCACCAAGAAAGCGTGAAACCTCTCAACATAAATGTTAAAGTTCAAACTAACCTTTATTGCAAGAATCCGTGTCCCTCTGACCTAATAAAGACCTATGAACACGAAGAGAGCAAACTAAAGGTTCTAATGTCATACACGCCTTCAAATACATGTGCACAGATTACAAGCTTCAACAAGACGCTACATACACTGGACGCACAACGACCTCTCTTTCCCGCCGACTGAACTGCCACCTCCAATTTGGGAGCCCTCTGCAACATACAAGGTAACCCATGACCGCAGTCTTACGAGATCTGACCTAACAGGGAACACAATTATCCTCGCCTACGTGATCGATTGTCGGTTGTCAAGGTTCCCTAAAATGGTCATGATCCTAGACGCGCAAACTCCGGTTAAATACCCAACAGAAGCGTGACGACGTGCACCCTTTGGAACCTTTGTTGATTTCGTACGTAATGACCGTTGTGGTCTTCCCACAGTACCCAGCCGTGTCTTGCCTCGCATGCACTATAATTTAAATATAGAAAATATGAGAAGATCCTCCGTGGTATCACCTTATATATCGTATGTGTAATTTGCGATAGATGAACGAGCACTATGCAAATGAGAAGTTGGCAAATATAGTATACCGATTTTCCTGCAACCACTGGAACTGTGCAACACGTAAAGTATCCTATAAAGACCATACAATCGGCCCCCACCGAAGCTTGTAAGCAGCACAGCTGTTCCACGGCATCCTGTTCCTGTCATCCAATAGGGCTCACGTGTTAACGGCCTGTTTTGCAGAGCTGTAGGTCGAATTCTAACACTTTGAAAAATCTTTAACTCAGAGCTTCCTATCGCATTTAAATATCGATGTGCACCAGAGATTCTTTTGTCTAAACGTCATGCGCAAAAGCGCCCACACGCACGTACGCACACACGCACACGCGCACACACACCCCAAGGCTAACGACGCTAATACTCTTCCCTAACTCACAAGTCAGCTGTCCTCTATCGCATGTGCTGCCCGCATCAGCACACTCCGAACAATCGCCCAGACTATGGCAAAGTCCTATGGGGCCCATCAATTATTCGCGTCTCGATTTTTTGCGTTTGCTGTCCTAACTCTGGATCTGGCATCCGCCAGCTTGCAGGAGCTGGTTGGTGACCCGTCCTGCAGCCTGGTCGCTGCTGAAGTCGGCACACGTTAGTGGCGAAGTGCCTGCTGATACTCTGTTCGTCACTTATCACTCACTGCAATGTAAGTTGTGATACCACGGATAAATGCTTGATATGCTGCATATGATGCGGCGATTGGCCGCCCCGCCGCGAGTTCTGCGTCCGTCAGTCGGCTGGGGCAGTTGTCTAGATCTGATGCTCTGGAAAGGAGCCGCGAGTCAAGCTTGGTTTCTGGCAGTAAAAAGATGCCAACGCTGTTGCGTGTGGTGGAGCGAACAGG